TTTCGGCGAGTGGTAATGCACCGCTGCTAAATTCCGGCCAGTCCAGTGATGCAAACAAATGTTACAATATAAAAAAAATATAATGTAATAAAATTGTATGTAGTCATGCAGAAATAGTGTTGCAGCTCGATATTGAAATAACAATAGATAATATTGTTATACATGGCACAAAAACTATATTCGATAGCTTTCTACGGTGCGCCACACCAGAGATATTTAATGTGCCAAACTTAATTTATAAAAATTGTTTCATAAGTTTTTTATACATATAATTTAGGTATTTTAAACCATCGATTGGAATAGTTTTTCGGTGTATAAATAGTGTTTCCATATACCATTTTATCACCAATATAGATAGTGTACCTACCTAAGTAGTGGAACTTTATGTAGGTACTATTTTTATGTAGGAGAGACGCAAAAGGGTTTTCGAAAGGTATTCCGATTGGTTGTCACCTGTGTGTGTCTGAGCCTTTAGGCCCTTACAATATACCTTTGGTATAATATAGTTTCCCAATTTCGCGTCATCGAGTGCCCGATGTGGAATGCCAATAGGAGCAACCGCAGACATTCGCAATGTCTCCATGACAACCGCTTCAGTGTATGTCATCCTTTAAAAATAAAACCGTTCTGGTAAAGTTTTTTGTTTAGGTAATAGATAAATTATTTACAAAAAGTTATAAAACTCGTTTTCTAGAATACCTAAAATTATGAGAAGCGAAACAACTCAGATACATTTACAACATGTATCTGAATGACGAGAACTGAGTCGCAGTCATACCTGCGCCGATCCTCAAGTGTTGGAGTTCTTTTTCCGATGACATCATCTATTTCCGCAATCACTTTGTTCTGTATACTTTCTTGACGGACCATGTAGAGAAACATGAAAGCTACAGTGTTGCCCACAGTCTCCATACCAGCTTGTAACATGTCCAAACAGACTACATCAAGATCTTCATCTGTTCCCACTTTTAAAATAGAAAGGGATCTTGTAAAATGAAGTAAACAGTATTGAAGCATTCACTTAACTTGGAATACTGAGCATATACATATAATGTAGATATGTATCTACTACGAATAAGTATATCTACTCACCAATGCTATTTTTGTTTCGGCTTCTTTCAATCAGGAACATGTCGATAACGTCTCTTGGATTATTCATGTCGAAGTTCTTCTGATGATCCCTTGTCACTTCCTATATAAATACATAGATGCTATTGTTAGTCAGATATGCATACATGAGTATGTACACTTTATGTATTGGTTTAATTTACCGTTGATTTTTTGTCTGACCGCTCAATAGCAGTGTATGAAAACAAGGCGTGGAGGTTGATGTGTCTTTTGTTTCGTAAAACCCAAAAGCATTTTCATCTTTCAATATACCGACAACGTAGGGCGTAGGCCGCCTATCTTCGGCCCAAAGGGTGTTGGAGACTATATACACGTTTGGTGGGTTGGGGACCTCCTTCAACATGTAGATTTCAACACGAAATTTTCCTTCATCATTAGCAAAGAGATACTGCTAAACATTTACAAATGTACGTAACTTAGAAATTAAAGTCACATACAACGTGCCGCCACAGGGATTCGAAGATCAACCTCCCTATTGAAGAAACAATCGTAGACCTATTTTCCACTAGCTGCGACTAGTCCTGAGCGATCGCCCGCCGTAGCAGCTACTTTTAACTACTACGTGCTCGACAGGTCGCCCGCTACTGAATTATTATATTCCATATACACATTTTCAAAATGGACATCGTATAAATAATATGTATAAGGTCGTCATTGCGCGTGCAAAACCGCAGAAGAGCAGTTTGTAAATACCGCGTAATAGCAAAAGGTATAAAATGTGAAATATCGCGCCAACAAATCCTTAACGCTAATTCGCTTAAGCTAGATCTCACAGAATTTGAATTAGCCTCTAAGAAACCTTATTTTTGCCATTGAAACAATACCGCGAAACATTGCGCATTGCTGACATTGTACGCGTATTTACCAAATTAATGAAGAAGTTATAACACGATCCCTCCACGAAACCTACGACTAGGAGAACAACTAAGAGATCAAATTCATCAAGACGAAGTAATGTTCAAATGTATTATTTGAAAGTTAATGATAAAAAGAAAAATAAATGGAGACAATCGGGTATCGGTATGGATATATCACGAAAAGTCGGAGTCAGCTCAAAGGAACTCCGTTTTGTAGAGAATAGACACGCCTGCGTTTTGGTAGCGTTAAATTTCACAAGATTGGCATCGCCCCAATCGGAGACTGCCTGGATTGTCAAATCCAAACGGCTAACCATGGACTCTCGACAAGACTGGATTTCCTCTCCACTGACCCTTGCATTGGTCAAGTATCTATCTACAACTGTGTTATCAGCATACGCAAAGGTATTATTGGAATTAACATAATCATTGATATGCAGCAGAAAGAGAGTTGCAGACAGTACGGAACCCAGAGGAATCTATCGCCATAAGTTCGGAAGAGTAGCCTTATAAGACCACTCGAATCGAACGTTCGCTCAAGAAATCCGAGAATCCAATTGCAAAGGTCAGTGGGAAGCCCTTATGAGGGATATTAATCAGAATCAATCATCAGATTGGAAATGCATAGAGATCTCCTGATTTATACAATTTTTCGTAATATGTGAGCATTTATAAATGCAAAATAATAAATTCTAAATCTCATATCTATCATCCCGGATATTCCCATATGACAATGAATATTGATCTACTTTAATTAAACATTTTAATCATACTTTGATTACAGTAAACTATACAAATTACAAACATAACAAGAAAAAACAGTTTCAACATTCAAGCCATACATTTGCATGAGGATATTGACTTATCGATGATTATCGTACAACACTAAAGAAATCCGCCATTTGTGGTGGACATTTTTGGTTTAGGTAGTGACGTTTATTCCGTAGATAGGGCAGCTCCTTTCCTTTATTTTTTCCATCCTCTAAGGTCTAAATGCATCATATACATATAACGTCTGATTTATATATGTCAATATGACATGTTCTTTGGTTTCCATTAAGTCTAAAGTGGGTAATATCATAATAAAAAAAATAGGGTAGTGGCTACAGAGCAAGACACTACCTTTTAATTATATTTGTGCAAGACATTTAACAAGATTGGGCTGCTGTGATTTTCAGGGAACTTATGAGTCTGTTTTTTTTTTATTCTTAATTACACATATTTTCAAACCACGAAGTTTAATAATCACGAGAACTTACCTTCGTTTTGACTTACTTATAAAAATATTTCTGTATAATTTGACTACGAACAGTAATAATTTATTGCTCTATCTGACAATACGTTTTTGGTCTAAGAAGATGTTTGTTTTAGAACCTTTTTTTGTTATTTTATTATTATTATGACCCTGTACTGTCCAGAGAAGGCAAAAGCCTCCTTACTCTCTGTCACTTTTGCTCTATAGTCATAATAAAATCAAACCTATAATAAAATGTTTCATTTCAATCCCGCGCACCTACTAACAGTATATTACTATTTTCTGTAATTTGTAACTACAAAACCGCGTTAGTGACTTTATCAGGAATCTAAACAAGTTATGGGTAAACTTACGTTATTTTTCTCCTGAAAAGTGAATCGCAAAGAAGTAGCTACAAAGTTCAGTCGGTAAAATATAGTTCAATGGCTAAGACATTAAATTTTTATTCTTCCTATAAAATTGTGAAAACGCTGTTACGCGGTATTTACAAAGTGCTCTTCAGCGGGTTTGCACGCGCAACGACGACGTGTTTACTTGTTATCAAAAAGAAAACGAAAACATTATACGTTTTAGTTACATCCTTGGTTAGGAGAACGTGTTTCAAAATACACCGTTCGTTCTATAATGCGGTAACACGACACATGTTTTTTTCAATTAACTGCCTTTTAACGTTACCATACCCGACTGCCATGCAGAGGTCCCATGTTCGATTACCGGGCCGGGAGAAATATTTGTATGGGTTACATTTATTTCTCTCGTGAGTTTGTATCCATTGCACCCGCGACATAAGGTTTAGCTGATGCGGGGCTATGTTGAGTGTGTGCGTTATTATTATTATTATTATAATTACACACGACTTGTTCGTCCCGTCACTGGATATTATAAAAAAAAGTCAGTACACGTTCACATTCACAACAAGTACGGCTGCGCGCGACTTGTCGGGCAATCCCATAATCTTACTACTTAAATTTTGTTTATAGTGCCCTCCCTATCAACCTTTTATAATCGAATTTTATCGCTAAGGTAGTGGACTACGAAATCTCCTCTTTGGTAGCGGAGCTGTCGGCACGCTCACCTCCCGCCGCTGAAACGTCTCTCCGATTCCAAAAATTCCTAAGCGGCTGGAGGGACCGGAGGATATCTAACTTATCCATACCCAGAGTCTGGGACCACCAGAGACCGTGAAGACATATCACTGGCGGAGAGCTCTGCCCGGATGCCCACTGTACCCTGGTTTTACCGGAGAGCCTAGACTCCACAGAAATCCCTATCCATCGATTAGGTAGACAGAGATATCGACGGCTAATATGGGAATTGCTCTGTAATTATATGCAATGAGGCGCGTGTGCTGTTGCAGTCCCTGCCGCGTCATTTGGTATGGTATACGACTTAATTGAATAAATAGAACTAGCCGCTTTGTGGAAAATTAGTGTTATGTAACAATGGTAAATAAGTATAATATCATTGATGTTAACAATCAAATTGCTGCTTATTAGCAGTGTAATCTGGCGGTATGTTCAATTGATTGATTTTAAATTTAACTGCCTCCGTGGCCGAACGGTTACTATACCGGACTGCCATGAAGAGGTCCCAGGTTCGATTCCCGGGCCGGGAGAAATATTTGTATGGCCTACAATTATTTCTCTCGTGAGTTTAGGTGTAATTTGTGGTTGTCTATGTGTGTGTCCATAGCACCCGCGACACAGGGTTTCCCTAGTGCGGGGCTATGTTGAGTGTGTGCGTTATTTATTTATTTAGTTTAAAAAAAAATGGTGACACGTGAAAATTTTATCTAAAAATGCTCTTATCTGTCATATATCAAAAAGGCCAATATGTAATATTATGTAGACACATTATTAAAAGGAAAATCATTGACATTTTCGATTACAACCGTAGTGAATAAAACTAAGAAACGAAATTACAATATAACCCAACTAGCTAACTAATAACAAGCCGCAATAGCCAGTTAGAAGTTCTTAATAACGGCATAGGCTGCATTAACCCACTTGTTACTAGCGGTCCTTTAATGACCCAAACAGATAAAAAAAATATTTCTTAAATGTGGGTAGTTTTTTTTTTTTTCTTTGGTTGCTATTTGTAACCAGTCGATAGTGTGTGCTATTTTTAATATTCGTTAAGACCTAACGAGGTGTTGTGATATTTTGTGAATACTGAAAACTCGAGGATATTTTAGCATGGATAAACAGAGGTATGTAATATTAGTTTATTCAAGATAATGCATGCCTTCCCATCTATATACTAAAGATCATACTGTGTACTACTTATCTAATGTAGATTTATGTTGAAAAAGCAATATTATTAATTCAAATTATAGAATTTACTTTTGTGGGTCTTTAGAGGACCGTTAGTAATATCCAGTACCGTGTCGTAGTATTATAATAGCATTATGTTTATTTTGTTTTTAGACGCCGAGAAAGACATTTGAGGTTAAATGAAATATTGGAGGAGCTAGAATGTACCGAGGATGAGCCATTACCAGACTTCATATCAATTCTACCACCTGAAAATTTCAATGCTGACGTCACAGATGAGGATTCCGGTGACGAAAATCAAGTATTTATGCAGAACCTGCCAGGGTCACAACTAAGAGTGCAAGCAATTGTTCATTATAATGAGCCTGACATTTCGGAATCTGATGATGACGAGGATTCCTTGTCATTAGCAGACCTAGCAAAACTACGACGGATTGGCGCAGAACAGGATGTTTTGAATATGCCCAGTACATCTGACCAGCCACCAACTCAACTAACAAAAAGGAGGAAGATAGCAGCATCTGATCAGGAAACTCAGCTCAATATTCCAACTCCACCAATCCCTGAAAAACCAGTCGTATCAAAGACTAAAAGCTATATGTGGACCAATCGCGATATACGGCCTATTCATAAGCCCTGGATTGAAAAGCAAGGACCACAAAAGCTAAATACGCCACTGTATTATTTTGATTGCCTATTTGATGAGGACACCCTGAACATGATTTTGAAGTACACCAATTTATACTGTGCCACGAAAAACAACGTTGGCAACGTAACAATCAATGAGCTGAAATGTTTTTTGGGAGTTCTCCTGTTGAGTGGTTATATAAATATGCCTAGAAGATATATGTACTGGGAAAACGCAAACGATTGTAGCATGCCCATAATTTACAATGCTATTACAAGAGATAGATTTACCTATATTATGACTCATTTACATTGCTGTGATAATAAAATGTTATCCATCAATGATAAGTTTACTAAAGTTCGCCCCCTGTTTGATAAATTGAATTCAAATTTCGTAAATTATGCACCATTTGAAGAAAATCACAGTATTGATGAGGCAATGGTTCCTTATTATGGAGGCCATCCGTGCAAACAATTCATAAGGGGCAAACCAATCAGGTGGGGGTACAAATTTTGGGTTGGAAGTACTCGCCTTGGGTACATAATATGGTTTGAACCTTATCAAGGCCAGTCAACTGAAATTCCGAATGAATATAAGAAAGCTGGTTTGGGTGCTAGTGTTATTTTGCAATACGCAGACGTTCTTCGCAAGATTGACGGGCAAGCCTCATTTCATCTTTTCTTTGATAACTTTTTCACATCTATACCTTTGATTGATGAACTAGGTGAAAGAGGCCTAAAAGCAACAGGTACGATAAGAGAAAACAGGCTATCAAAGTGCCCCCTCCCTTCAAATAAGGAGCTTCAGAAAACTGACCGAGGTACGTACATGTTTCAGTCGGCGAGATCCGAAGAAATCGTGGTTTGCAAGTGGCATGACAACAGTGTCGTAACTGTTGCATCTAATGCAGTAAAGGTATTGCCAACTAACGAAATAAAAAGATTTTCCCAAAAGGAGAAGAAATATATACTTGTAAAACAGCCAGCTACTATAAAAGCATATAATGAGAACATGGGCGGAGTAGATCGTTCAGACCAAAATATAGGTCTATATCGGACTTCGATCCGTGGCAAGAAATGGTATTTCTCCATAATCTGCCACTGTCTGGATATGGCAGTTCATAACGCATGGCAATTGTATAAAGAAGATGGTGGGGATTATGATCATCTGCGTTTTCGAAGGACTATTGCTACTAGTTTATTAGAAACACATAAAAAACCATCCAGTAGAAAGGGTTGCAGATCTTCAAAAGGCCTTCATGAAGAATCAAGATATGATCATATAGATCATTTAATTAGATATGACACAGATCGGCACAGATGCAAGATTTGCCATATAAAAGCAAGTTTTATTTGCAAAAAATGTAAAGTGTATCTACACCCTAAAATTTGCTTCGAAAAATACCACACTAGGGATGATTGATGGTTCATGTTCATGTAACTGGTTTTTTTATATATTTCTTATGATAAATCATGTAAATTTTGCTATAATATTTGTTTAATTCCTACTCAATCAACGTAAAATAGCATTTATTATAAAAACCGCATAAGGATACCTAATAGTAGTCGATATTACTAGCGGTCCTTTAAAGGACCACTCATTTTCCGCTTTTCCGGTACAGTTACATTTTTTTTCATATTTTTTTTTACGTTTCAAATTCGTATATAAACTCAATATAAAAAAATGTTAATGAACAAACAACTTTTTTTTTTTCGTAACAAGTGGGTTAATAAATTCTACAGTAGACGTATAAGCGCTTCCAGCGCCGCTGTACCCCCAAAATGGGCACCGATTTATACGCTATAGGTCCTACAATGGTCGTAAACGTGTGTTAGTACGAAGATACAAAGGAGAGAGAAAGAAGATGCGCGCGGTTAATATGCGTGGTAAATGTGCATCTCAGTAATACAAAGGAGCTATGCGAGCGGTAATGTGCGCCTAAGTATCTAAAATAAGTTCTTGTAGCGCGACTATAGCGCTCGCATCGTATTTAGACGCGACTGTATCTCTGAACTTGAGTTTACGGCGCTGTATTAGATACACAGCAGCGATATAATGGGGAAACAAACAAAACGCATTTTATTGCTCATAAAGACCGTGACCTTGCTGACTGGAATACGATTGCAAACAAAAAATTACAACAGTTTGATAAAATAAGTTTTCCGTTTAATACATGCAAAATACAAGTGCGAGTACCAGTTTATTGTAAATATATACATATATTTTAGATAAAACTTTTACGCGCCTTCTACATGTGCAGTTTTTTTGTGTAAAAATACATTTAATTAGACTATGTGAAGTTTGAATTTAGTTTAAATAAGATATTTCAGCGTTATTGGAAGTTTATTTAGGGTCATGGGTGAGAAGGAATGAAGTGGATGCGGTTTTTATACATATTTAAGATATTAAAAAATATATAAATAACCTACAAAATTGGTTTAATCAAAATTGCAATGGCGTCTCTGTTACAAACAGCCTTCAGAGTTTACTAATGCCGTTCTACCGATTTAACCGCTAGTATTCACCGTTGTAGACCTTTCGGTTTGACAATTGTGGTATTGAGGCGCTATTTATATAAAGTTGCTGTAGAATTCTCAAATATAACGGTCTAAGTGCTACTAAAAAAATATATTTCTCTGCTGTAGATATAGCGTTCCAAAGGCTGTAGTAAAATCTATTTAATAGTTCCAGGTGTTAGAAACATACTATATACCACCTCTAGCGTTTTAAACGAAGTTAATAACTCCATTCAAACACTTTTAACTTCAAAAGCCCTCTACAAGACCTCAAGGTGTTATAAGAGCTTTAGAAATTTACGATATACTACCAAAAGCGTTTTAAAGAAAGCTAATAACTCCATTTAAACACTTCTAACTTTAAAAGCCCTCTACAAGACCTCACGGTGTTAAAAACGCTATTTTTAACTCTACTTTACATCAATTGCCCGGACAATCTCGCTATAACTAACCTTTTTATCTCTCTTAGGATTACATTTACCGTTGCACGGCTATTGCACGACGTGCGCCTGTTTAATTACTTTTGAATATGCTACTAAAGAACTTAAGTACTATAGTGCATCCCTTAAACAACTAATATACAACTTTTAGGCTGTACAGAGGTAATATAAGCAGTTTGTGTGCTTGTTGGGAACATTCATAACTATATTAATTTAAAGTATCTACACGATATAAATAAATTCAGATTAGTAGCCGAACCAACTTACTCTTATAAATGTTAATAAAGATCCATATATTTCAACCAATTCTTTGTAACCCGTTAGACCTGGAAAGATGTGTCTAAGGAATGGCAAAAAGTTTATAACGCCTCCACTCATATCTACCACGTTGAACGATCGTCTGATCCAGTCACATATATTCTTCAAGCGATCATCATTCAAATCGTACCTGAAAAATATGTGTTATTTTACTAGCATTCAATTAATTCACGAATTTTTAAAGAGATTATCAATAACACTTACACGAAGTTTTTCAGACTACACTAAGGCTCAACTCACACCGGCACAGAGTCGAAGCGTCGCGACGCGTCACGTTTTTCGCCTATAGCACATTCATCTCGATTTTCCCATTATTAAAGTACAAATTTGTGTTTTGCAAATATGGAATCGAGCGTCGACCCTTGATAGCATTCGAGCGGCTTCGTGTGTCACTTGGGCTCCGTGAGACCTCAGGCGCCGACTACACTGTGATCCCGGGGCACTAATATTAACTAACGTCGTTGCGCGTCGACGCGTGTCGCCAGGTGGTGTAGTTGAAAAACAGGACGTGACGCGACGCTTCGACTCTGCGCCAGTGTGAGTTGAGCCTAAGTACTCTCGTGAAAATCTTAAACATACTCATACTAGAATGACAGATTATATTTTTTACAATTTTGTAACTTAATTATTAAAGTTGAAGGAAGAGGAACTTCATAATTACCTCTTGCCTGCCATAAGCCGCCATAAAATATTCAAAATGGTTATGTCAAACATGTCGTTCACTAGTATACGCTGGCCAGCGTCAGTCAGTCGCAATTCCACCAAAGCTTTGCACTCGGCAGCAATGATCGTCTCCATAGCATTGGTTCCATAGCCGAAGTTTTTCAAGAATTTGAGCATTAAGCGACGTCCACTGGACCATGCAGGGCCTTCGGTAAATACTATACCTGTGAAGCAAAATATGTTAAAATTATGGTGTTTATCCAGTATTCAAATGTAGATACTATTATATTTATTATCCGTGAGACTATGATTACTAAATTGTACAGTCATATACATAAGATACCTGACCCGCAACATGCCCAAACCGACCTTTGGTTCTGAGAGCCATCTTACGTGTTAAAGTGGGTACGTATTACGTGAGTAGATATTATTAATAATAAAGTGTATGGTGGATATAGATAGATTAACAAATGACGAAATCGCTCTGCAGTTTGCATACGATCGTGTCTTCTGTGATTACCAGAGAGTTGAGTTTTTTTACTTACACTTCGAGGAACATAGACAGAAAATGGAGACTGCCTTACGACAATATTTTTTAGGTCCTGGACCTGTTCGGGATTCGGGAAATCATTTAAGCACATGAAAAATTGACGTAATTAAAATTTATGTTGCACATTTTCTGACACGTATAAGTAGTGAATATGCAGGTTTGGGCGCGCGTTTAGTGTGCAAGTCTATAGAAGATAGGTCTAATAATACGTCTGTAGTGATTCCAAGACTCTAGTCTTGTTGGGCACAGCAATGTACATAGAGAGGGCAACATTTCACTTACTTGAATTAAATTAAATCAATAAACATTTCAACATCAAATAAAATCTTCAAAAAAAACATGCAATAATTACAATTTATATAAGCATACAATTCTTAAATTACAAATAAAATCTATTAATATTATTCTTTTGTCGGTACAATAAATGTCTATGAATTCAATTAACAAAAAAAAATTCATAATAACAAACATCTCAATATTTTTACGCCTAGTATTTATGTATGTATTTCTATTAAGTACAGGTAAGTATATTGGTACATTAATGTAACTTATCACGAACATATTCCTTTATCATTGAAATATTCGTTTACATGGTAGTAACTTTTACTTACTAATATTTTTTTCAGATGGGATTTAAAATTGCTGTCGTGAGGTATTTTTTTTATGGAGTTCGGTAACTTATTCCAAATTTTTATAGACATTACAAACGGACTTGATGAATGGAGAGAGATCGTTGATTTTGGTAATTAATTTGGTAATTAATTAAAAAATTTGTGGAATTCTCTCCCTGAAAATATTCGACGATCCCCCTCTTTACATACTTTCAAACGACGTGTCAAGGAGCACTTTCTTGAGCAGTGACTTCTTTCCCTTTCTGCCTTTAATGTCCTTGTTCTGTTGTTATTATAATCCTTTATCATAATATAATAAGTAAATATTTTTATAATTATTTATTTATGTATTTACATTGATATCATTGTGTATTTATTATTTTTATTTATTTACTTTAAAATGATATATTATTGTGTTTATTATTAATATTTATTTATATTATATACTATATTTATTATTAGTATTTATTAATATTGTTTCTCAATCTATCGCTGTGGTATCTTGTATCTTGGTTGCACCCCCTTCTAAGTACTTTTCCTATCCTAAGGCTGCCTGGAAGAAATTGCTACTTAGCAATAAGGCCGCCTGTTGTGCGTATGTTTATCTGTACATGTGTTTATGTTCGTGTGTTTATCTGTGCAATAAAGTATATTCATTCATTCATTCATTCATTCATTCATTCATTCATTCATAAGTCTGTTTTGGTGTTTAAAACAATAGTTTGTAGGTACGTCTTGCCTTCTTTTATAGAGATTGGGATAATTTCTGACAAATTTACAGGATTCAAAAATGTAGATACAGGATAAAGTTAAAATATTGTACTGTTGGAAATAGGGTTTGCAGCTTTCGGTTGTCAATGTTGGCTAGGATTCTTATCAATTTTTTCTGTAAAGTCAGAATTGAGGGAGATTCGGTGCTGTTCCCCCACAGCATTACACCGTAGTTGAGCCATGCATAGGCATACGCGTAATAAGTGGTGAGCGCGGTTTCCAAATTAGTTGTTTTCTTTGTTTCGCGAAATGCATAAGCAAATTTGCCGATTTTAGATCTTAATTTTTGAATATGTGGTTTCCAATTAATATGTGTGTCTAAAACTAAGCCAAGCAAGGTAAATTCTTGAACATGATCTAAATGTACATTGTTGAAACTAAAATTAATATTTAAAGATTTTTTCTGATACGGATAAAAGGCTATTATTTTGGTTTTTTCAAAGTTAATGTCAAGGTTGTGATCTGTCATCCAGTTGATTGTTGTTTGTAGCATTTTATGGAGTTGTTCATTTACATCTGTATCATTACGACATGTCGTTAGCAAGAATACATCGTCAGCAAATAAGACGCAATGTTCCTTTATAACTTTAGGTAAATCGTTGATGTAGATGAGGAATAGTAGGCATCCAATTACACTGCCCTGTGGGATAGATGCATTAACGACTTTACAGCTAGATCGAAAATGTTCAATTCTACCAGGGATGTGATCAAAGTTTTCAATTTCCACGAATTATTTCCTATCTTTTAAATAGAACTCGAACCACTTATGCGCTACACCTCGTATTCCTATTCCGTGTAATTTATGTAATAAGATTTTGTATTGAACTTTATCATAGGCCTTAGTCATGTCTAGCTAGACAGTCATCAAATATTTTATATTTTTCCATTGACTTACAATTATATGGACGTCGGGTCCGCGCTAAAAAGTGTCCGCACTTGTAAGGCGCTAAAATCGTATACAGAGCGCGACACTCCGCTTTAGTCTTCATTTGTTCTACTGACAGCGCGATACTGCGATGACATTACAATTTAAATTTCGAATAGGTTGACTTGGGACATTTTTTTCGTGGTTTTTGTATTAGACCCGTCGTCCATTTATTTGTAAGTCAATGTATTTTTCACAAAATTTGTAAACACGATCACACATCAGTTTTTCGAAAATTTTTGAAGCTGTGGGTAAAAGGGTTATGAGACGATAGTTACTTATGTAATTTTTTTCATTTCTCTTGTATATTGGTTTTAGTATAGCCGTTTTTAAAGCCTCAGGGAAGATGCCTTCATTAAATGACTGATTTGTAAGCATGGTAAAAGGTATAGTAAGCTCATCGGCACACTGTCTGAGTAGGGTAGGTGGTAGTTCGTCAATTCCATGGCTGTTTTTGTTTTTCAGGTTTTTTATTATTTTATTCACTTCGTAGCAATCTGTAGGTCGCAAAAACATGGTATTTTCAGTGGGGTGGAGCCCAGGGCGGCCGGCTGCCCCGTCACTGTTTTTCTCTCCAATTGAAGCAAAAAAGTCATTAAAGAGATTAGCATTTTTTTGAGGGTCTGTCACTACTATATTATTTATTTTTAAGTGTATGTTTGTTTTCTCTTTAATGGTTTTTTTATTTGTACGCTCATATATAACATTCCACATAGTTTAATAACACCCGTATTCTTAAACGTGTCCTCAAGGTTTCCTCAAACTCAACCTCACCTGAGGTATCCTTAAGGAATTCCTCAACATTTCCTCGAAGTCAGTATTCTTAAACGTCATTTGACAATTACAAGGAGTTCCTCCAGTAAGGTTGAGTCGAGGAATGACGTCATTACCT